TGACAGTGTAGACATCCAAATGTCCTTAGACCGCTGCTGGGCACCACCTTCCTTGATGTGAAGTCTGCAGTCCCAGAGCTGTAATTCAAGTGATACTATGCTTCGCTCATCCCCCCAGCTGCTACATAAAAAGGGAGGGGCAGGGGAGCTGGGCCTGTCCAGAGGGTAATTAGAAACTCCCAGAAAAGGAGAGGGCTGTGATGTGCAAGGAGGGAGGGGGCTGTGCTAGGGAATTGACTCTTCTGGAGCAGTCACATTTTCTAGCAAGTTCAAAGGCACATTCAAGTAAATAAAAAATATCTATATAAAAGAAAAAACACTGCAAGTAAGCATTTAAAAAGCTTGATTCTTCTGTACTTTTACACACAAATTTATTTATTGAAGTTAATGACAGGGTCTCTTTAAGGAAACCTATTTTGCGAGCATAGTGGCTACCATCAATGTTATCTATGAAAATTCTAGTTGCCTGACTTCTTAATGGGCCTCTTGCTTTAATACTTCTATTTCACTTCAAGTAGGCCGATAAGGACTTCTAAATCCCCTTGGAGTTTCCTGATATGCATACTTGCTTCAAGGGATCATATTGAAGCTAGAGGGTGAACTTAAAGTGTAATTATGGAAAAAATAAAAAATGACATATAAAATGCAGTCTATCAATAGCATTGACACAGCAGTTTTTTATTTTCTTGAGCAACTTTTGAGTCTACCTGTAACAGTTCTATTACCTGTTGATCCTGCAAGCAGATATGTTATTTTCCTCTTCCTGTAAAAGGGTGATAATGCTTTTGGTACAGAACTGAAATCACCTAGCAGCGTTGCCACCCTGTACATGGGGTAGTCTTAGATAGACATGTAGTTTTAAATGAACTTTAAGTAAAAGTCAAACAAATGAAAGCTTATCAATTGCAGAGAAGGGGACACAGTGTGCCTGAGAAGCTCTGTAATATTACAGAGAGTGCTGGGTCTACTCTGGCGCCTATTAGATTGAACAGCTATAGTTAGACTCTCTGTTTAACTATTTGTAATAAGACATTGGAGGTAAGGCTATGGAATGGAGATTGTTATTGCAATTTCTATCTGACTGAATTTCTATTTCTGTGCCTTCAAGCGGGCTTTAAAATATTTAATACAACAACATAAAATATGTTACTATAACAATTAAAAAACTCAGCGATGTTGCCAATAAAAGTCAAGAAAATCTGTGATTCAGGGAGGCTACTGAGATAGAGTACCTCACAGACAGCCCTCCAGGCAAAGGATATCTCCCAGATCCTGCAGAACAAAGCCACACGGCCTCCAAACTTCAAGTAATAAAATAGATTTTTACAACCAGTAGATTTAATTAAAAGGAGTTGTTACCTAAATAGACTGTACAAGCGGGAATGGCTCTCCGAGGACTGTAAATGTACAGTCCCATTACACAAAAAGTGTGCCCAGAGGCAGAATGACTAGATAAAAAGGGAGCATGGCGAGAGTCTCTGTCTCAGCTGTTCCAGCCTGTGACAGGAAGCAGCCAGGTAAAGGGATTACAGTCTCTATACTGACATTTACAGGCATAGCTGTGCTGCCACTGACGATGAGGTAAAAGGCTGATGCAAAAGGGGCTCTACACAAAGAGCATGTATTAGCAATAGAAATGCTGAATTGTGAGACAAAATTACGAACATGCTAAGAGAAAATATAAACAACATCTTTGCAGTGAAACCTTAAATTTCTTTTGCAATATTATAATATAATAAATCAAAGTATAACTAAAGCCAATTGCCCCATTGGGAACACATATAGCAATACAAACAGGAAAAAGGTTATAAACCCTCAACACTCTATCCATAAAAGGAAAAAAATAGATTTTTGTATTCACTGTAAAATAGTTTCCCTCGAGTCCATTGAGAGGTAGAGGAAGTCATTAGATGCTGGGTTATACTGCTACAAGGAGCAGTATAACCCTGGACACTGGAGGACCGGACACTGGCAAACAAAAAAAATGTTGGCCAGCCCAGGATAACCCCTCCTACTCACAGCATGCCTCAATCTGTAGCAAAGCAGTGCCAAGAAAATCATCATAAGCACAGAGGGGAGAGGCTTGTCAGTTTACCTTTGTCTTTGTTTTCTATCTCATCCATTGACACAGAAAGTCAGTAATTGTCAGGATGTCCAAAAGCAGTCCAAACGATCAGAGGGCAACACAGCAAATAAAATGCTAATAAGCCCATCGAAAACGAAAAAAACAGGGGACTGCTTGTAGCTCAAAAAGCCACCTGACAGACCTTATCCCCGAAGCTGGCAACAGATGAGGCCTGAACAGAAGACCAGGTACCGACCATGCAGATCTGGAAACAGTAGCCTAATACCAAAGAGCCCAAGAGCCACTCAGTAATGTAGTAAAATGTGTCTTGACTGGCAAAGGTTGTAACTTGATTCTTTAGATTATAGTGGGGATGTGTGGTGGTGAGTGAATGCTAGCTTTAATGTCACTTTAAGTAGTTGCTGGTTGCCTGTGTCAAAGGGCCTTTGTTACCGGCAAGCAGATATGGCATTCCCATACAAATCTATGAGTATGCAAAACTCCCTTGAAGCAAGTCAAATGCAACTCAGAAGGAGATCAATTGTAGGCCAAACACACCTGTCAATGGATTCCAAATAATCTCAAAAGCATTTCAAACTAACATCAAAAACTGATCCCATGACACAAGCTCAAGACCAGCCAAAGCAGGCTGTAGCTGTAACTGTCTGTGAAACACAACAAGCTGAACTGCCGCTGTCATTACTTGTTTTCCTTTATATCCGTTCATTTTAGATTTGACAGTTAGGTATTAAGTATGTATTTATTTAAAATACAATACAGAAATACAAAGTGTACCATAGAGGATGATAATAGTCTTTTAAGATTTATGTAATGTAGACTGATTCCGCACTTATAAAATGTATGGCTTCTCATCTCTGACGTGCAATATTACTGATGATAGACAGACACTCTCTATATTGTTCAGTAAAACATTTTCTCTGCTATTAAATGGCAAATGTGATCCAACACCAGTTACAGCGGAGGCATTTAAAGGGCAGCTGTACTTTTATTCTAAAGTTGGTATTTGATAACTCCCTCTGCATTAACCTTCACAATTACAATGCAGACCTCAGAAACAGATAACAAAGGTTCTCACTGTCTCAGCCAATGTGGTAGATGCAGAATAGCGCAAGCATGTCTGTATCGTAGAGCAACCCATATTATTAACTGACCCCCCCATTATGTCTTCTGCTTTTAGGTAGGGAAATGGTCAGTCTTTTGCAAATTTCACCCTTAGATGCATTGAGCCATTTATTATAACAGGTATTTATATAGTACTGATAATTTACTCAGCGTTTTACATACTCACATCAGTCCCTGCTCTAAAGACGTTTGCAGTCTAAGGCCCCTATCTCACAGGCATACATACACGCAGACATGCTAGGGCTGATTTACACAGGAGCCAATTGACCTACCAGCATGTCTTTGAAGTGTGGGAGTTAACCAGAGTAAACCCACACAAGCATGGGGAGAGCATGCAACTTCCATGCATATAGTGTCCTAACCAGGATACAATCTTGGGACCCCCAGTGCTGCAAGGTCAAGGTGCTAACCAGTCTGATACAGGTAATTTATTCACATGGCACCTTTACTTCATGGCAAAAGCAACCATTGCATGAACAGTTAACTCACCACATGTTACAATCTGACTGCAACCACCTTTAGATCTACCAACAGCTATGTACTGAAAGGGCCTTCCTGACTGGCTACAATGTTATTGGATAGTTTAGGCAGGTTATCATATTATATAGTTTTGGTAGTCGAATTGTAATTGGGGGCTGGAGGAATCAGCCAAATTAAAGGAGAATTAATGAAATACACCCTTCCCCATACATAGAGCTGATGTGTGGCACTGCAACTGTCACACGTCGGCTCTATAGATCGATAACTGAGCAATCACAAACCACTTATGGTTCAGTTCATGATCTTCTCCCTGCAGAGAGCAGTAACTGTCAGTCCCCGCTCCCGGCAGGGATTTCCCCCTCGCCTTTCCATTTCTGTAGAGAGGCAGAGCCAGTTGTCAATCAGGCAGCGGGGGGGATCCCGTCAATATTGTGGGGATCTTTCCGGCTGCAGCAGGGCTCTGCGCTTTCAGCATATAGGGAAAAACTGCCCGCTTTTTGATGAGTTTTGGCTATAGTTCTCTCTTAATGCTGGCCACGTGTGCATTGATATGTTCATACAACTGATCATTCAATGCGACTAAACTGATCGAATTTAATATAAAACAAAAGATCCTCCATTGAGTTGATTTAGTGAATTCGATTGATTCAGACTTTGTCGATAGCTTCTGAATGATCAAGCGAATACCTTGCGTGTGTCAGAGGACTGATCATAATAGAGATTAATCAAATAATTGTTTCTAATATATTGTTTTGATTAATCACTAACAGCTTGTATTTTCTATTGATTTATTTTCAGTCCACCGCTAAGTGCAAAATAATACCATAGAGTTGATCTGTTAAACTTCCACCCAGCCATGCACTGGGTGATTGCCGTTCACATGGCATTCCCACCAATAGATGGAGCTGAAGAGCATAGGAAATTCCGATGCTCTTCAGCTCCATCCAATGGTGGGAATGCCATGCGAAAGTCATATGGCTTGGCGTATGATTTATAAATCAGCCCCCATGTGCGTTGCGTCATTCAATATTTTAATAAATCCTTAATCGATTGTGTGCAATCACTCGTACCTAGATCAATGACAAATTGATACATCTATGTCCGCCATAAATAGCCTAAACTGAATTGTGTGTTGTACATTTACAGTCCAATAAATGTCCTCTAACAGTCTTGTCCAGGCTGTACAACACTGGATCATGACATCAACCTCTAAGCAACAATTTCTGCATATTACTAATGACCACTTCAGTATATTCCAATAATCCCCTAAAAGAGTCAACAAGAAGACATATAAATGTGCAACCAGTTTATTTTCCACTTGGCAAACATTAACACTTGCTTATTGTTTCATAATAATACTATATTGGTATTGGAAAGAAGATGCGTCTTTCCAGAGCTAGAATCCCAATTTATCCCTAGGAATTGTGTGATCTTCTGTATGTATGTGGACTTAAGGCATTCTTGTACATGTTCTTGTAGATCTTTTCCATACTCTCTTCAAAGATGACCCTGTGGCTCTTCCCCTTGTATGCTGAAGCTTTATTGCACCAGAACTCCCCATTGTCTAAGTGCACAGAGGTATCATGTGTGTATGGAAGACTGGGGAGGAAAGAAGACAGATAATCTTGTCATTTCACAGAATAATAACACAAGGAACGAACCGTTAAATGTAGGACAAACTATGTTTGTGTATGAGGCTTTAAAGAGACCCTGTTGCCAAACCGTTCATTTCAACAATTTGGCTTCCATTACATTAAATGTAAATTTTTACGCAGGGGTGGACACATTAATATGGAATTCAGGAGTCAGCAGGATTTTTATAGGGGCCAGCTCCATTGACAACTAGAGGAAACCTCAAAAGTTAGGCACCGGCTGTAATTTCTAAGGATCACTCGCCATCTGGCTCCTGGGTTTTGTCCAGCTCTGATTTAATGTATTTTATGTATGTTTTTAACCTGTAAAAGTCTCTCTTGTGTATGCCAGGACCAGCTGTGGGCGCACGCTGTCAGAACAAATAGTGACGAGTTGTTTCACCTATAGCAGCCGCTGTTTCCATAAGGCAAACACGCCTACCAGTAACTGGATGCCCACAGGACTTAAACTATATGTTCTGAACAGGTGAAGCCACAGGCTGGCCAGAGGTGCTAAACTGAGGTACGGACTGAAGTGGAAAGACACTACCAGAGAGTAATCAGGGACGATCTGGAGTCAAAGGCTGCAGCCAGCAATACAGGCTGCCTGAACTACACAGGCTGCCTGACAGTGTAGACATCCAAATGTCCTTAGACCGCTGCTGGGCACCACCTTCCTTGATGTGAAGTCTGCAGTCCCAGAGCTGTAATTCAAGTGATACTATGCTTCGCTCATCCCCCCAGCTGCTACATAAAAAGGGAGGGGCAGGGGAGCTGGGCCTGTCCAGAGGGTAATTAGAAACTCCCAGAAAAGGAGAGGGCTGTGATGTGCAAGGAGGGAGGGGGCTGTGCTAGGGAATTGACTCTTCTGGAGCAGTCACATTTTCTAGCAAGTTCAAAGGCACATTCAAGTAAATAAAAAATATCTATATAAAAGAAAAAACACTGCAAGTAAGCATTTAAAAAGCTTGATTCTTCTGTACTTTTACACACAAATTTATTTATTGAAGTTAATGACAGGGTCTCTTTAAGGAAACCTATTTTGCGAGCATAGTGGCTACCATCAATGTTATCTATGAAAATTCTAGTTGCCTGACTTCTTAATGGGCCTCTTGCTTTAATACTTCTATTTCACTTCAAGTAGGCCGATAAGGACTTCTAAATCCCCTTGGAGTTTCCTGATATGCATACTTGCTTCAAGGGATCATATTGAAGCTAGAGGGTGAACTTAAAGTGTAATTATGGAAAAAATAAAAAATGACATATAAAATGCAGTCTATCAATAGCATTGACACAGCAGTTTTTTATTTTCTTGAGCAACTTTTGAGTCTACCTGTAACAGTTCTATTACCTGTTGATCCTGCAAGCAGATATGTTATTTTCCTCTTCCTGTAAAAGGGTGATAATGCTTTTGGTACAGAACTGAAATCACCTAGCAGCGTTGCCACCCTGTACATGGGGTAGTCTTAGATAGACATGTAGTTTTAAATGAACTTTAAGTAAAAGTCAAACAAATGAAAGCTTATCAATTGCAGAGAAGGGGACACAGTGTGCCTGAGAAGCTCTGTAATATTACAGAGAGTGCTGGGTCTACTCTGGCGCCTATTAGATTGAACAGCTATAGTTAGACTCTCTGTTTAACTATTTGTAATAAGACATTGGAGGTAAGGCTATGGAATGGAGATTGTTATTGCAATTTCTATCTGACTGAATTTCTATTTCTGTGCCTTCAAGCGGGCTTTAAAATATTTAATACAACAACATAAAATATGTTACTATAACAATTAAAAAACTCAGCGATGTTGCCAATAAAAGTCAAGAAAATCTGTGATTCAGGGAGGCTACTGAGATAGAGTACCTCACAGACAGCCCTCCAGGCAAAGGATATCTCCCAGATCCTGCAGAACAAAGCCACACGGCCTCCAAACTTCAAGTAATAAAATAGATTTTTACAACCAGTAGATTTAATTAAAAGGAGTTGTTACCTAAATAGACTGTACAAGCGGGAATGGCTCTCCGAGGACTGTAAATGTACAGTCCCATTACACAAAAAGTGTGCCCAGAGGCAGAATGACTAGATAAAAAGGGAGCATGGCGAGAGTCTCTGTCTCAGCTGTTCCAGCCTGTGACAGGAAGCAGCCAGGTAAAGGGATTACAGTCTCTATACTGACATTTACAGGCATAGCTGTGCTGCCACTGACGATGAGGTAAAAGGCTGATGCAAAAGGGGCTCTACACAAAGAGCATGTATTAGCAATAGAAATGCTGAATTGTGAGACAAAATTACGAACATGCTAAGAGAAAATATAAACAACATCTTTGCAGTGAAACCTTAAATTTCTTTTGCAATATTATAATATAATAAATCAAAGTATAACTAAAGCCAATTGCCCCATTGGGAACACATATAGCAATACAAACAGGAAAAAGGTTATAAACCCTCAACACTCTATCCATAAAAGGAAAAAAATAGATTTTTGTATTCACTGTAAAATAGTTTCCCTCGAGTCCATTGAGAGGTAGAGGAAGTCATTAGATGCTGGGTTATACTGCTACAAGGAGCAGTATAACCCTGGACACTGGAGGACCGGACACTGGCAAACAAAAAAAATGTTGGCCAGCCCAGGATAACCCCTCCTACTCACAGCATGCCTCAATCTGTAGCAAAGCAGTGCCAAGAAAATCATCATAAGCACAGAGGGGAGAGGCTTGTCAGTTTACCTTTGTCTTTGTTTTCTATCTCATCCATTGACACAGAAAGTCAGTAATTGTCAGGATGTCCAAAAGCAGTCCAAACGATCAGAGGGCAACACAGCAAATAAAATGCTAATAAGCCCATCGAAAACGAAAAAAACAGGGGACTGCTTGTAGCTCAAAAAGCCACCTGACAGACCTTATCCCCGAAGCTGGCAACAGATGAGGCCTGAACAGAAGACCAGGTACCGACCATGCAGATCTGGAAACAGTAGCCTAATACCAAAGAGCCCAAGAGCCACTCAGTAATGTAGTAAAATGTGTCTTGACTGGCAAAGGTTGTAACTTGATTCTTTAGATTATAAGCTTGGATAATGGTCTGTCTGAACCACCAAGAGATGGTGAAAAGAGAAGCTGGTTTACCTTAATGAGGACCATTGAAATGACAGAGAGAGAGTCAGTCTGTCTGAAGGAATCTGTGGCTGAGAGTTAGACCCTCACAGCTCAAATCACAACCAGACAATGGAGGGAAATCTTCTTGTGAACTGGAGCCGGACTGGGGGACAGAAGAACCATATCCTGGTTGAGGTGAAAGGCTGAAACTACCTTGGGTAGTAAGAAAGTTATGGGCCTCAACACCAGCTTGTGAAGATCAGAAAGGATTATTTACAAGATAAGACCACCAGCTCAGACACTCGCCTTGTAGAAGAAATGGCTACCAGGAATGCCACCTTACAAGTGGAAAGAGGAATATGCCTGATAGGTTCAAAGAATGTTTTATGCAGTGCTAAGAGAACCAAATTCAGATCCACAGAGTCACAGTGAAATTAACAGAGTAAGCGACATGGGTGACACCTGCACAAAGATTTTGATCAATGAATGAGAAGCCAACAGTCTTTATAACAAGACAGCAAGAGCAGAAACCTGACTTTTACTGGTGCTGACAAATGTTGTTTCAAGGCCCATCAGCAAAAAGGCAAGGATTCTTTCCACGGATAATTTCCTGGAGTGAAAGCCTAGCAGCAAACATGCAAGTTGATAGACTTTGCGAGAAGTAAACCTCCTACCAGTTATCGTTGTGGGAATAACCAATGCTGAGATGCCTTTGTCCCTTAGATCCTGGGCATCAAAAGCCATGTCATTACAGCCAGTGTACCCAAAGCAGCATGGGCAACCAGTATTCGAGAAATTCCAAACGATTTGGAAGAGCCCACAGAGAATGCACCAAGACCTTTATTAGGTCAGAGTACCACATGAGCCTGGGCCAATCTGGAGCTATGAGAATCACAGGAATGCCCTCCATCTCAATCCTGCAGAGCAGACAAGGAAAGCCATAAATCAGGGTGTACTGATCTCACTGAGCCAACAGAGCATTCACTGCTTCTACTAGAGCCTTGGTTCTCAACAGGTGGGTCGTGACCCAAAAGTGGTAAAGCAAAACAAACGACAAACGCACTCAACAATTTGTTACCAGTTATACAGTAAGGTGCACACGAAATGGGCTTTGAACAGTAGAAAGGCATCATGGCACAAGATGATGCCTTTCTACTGTGACCCAAAAGTGGGTCGCGACCTCGTGTTCAGTGGGCCAACGCATGCCTTTCACTTTTCTAGGTGAAGGGCTCCTCAGCCTGCCCCTAGCGCAGCACTGTCAGTTCTCATGCCCAGCAGCCATTGAAAATATATGCTGCACGGTGGCAAATGTCAGCTTGAGGTGAGGTGGGATGGGAAGGTGCTATGGCTGCGAGGGAGCTCCATTCATACATGCATTGCTCACAGCTTCCTCACGTGTAGTGTAGTGGTGCCTGGAATGGAGTGATGCCACACTCTGGTTCCCGGCACCTCTACAGGGCGCACAAGGGAGCTGTACCAGCAATGCACATATGGATGGAGCTCTGTCATAACACAGCAGCCCACACTGGACCCCAGGCTGAGATCCACTCCAGTTCTCGTAAGATAGGGAGACTGGGTGTATCTGAAATTAAAAAAACTAAAACATTTTTTAGAGTATGTATGTGTGTGAGAGAATGTGTCTGTGGTTGTGTGTGTCTGTCAGTGTTTTTGAGGGCCTATTCACACTAGTACAGTGCGTTAATCGCACGTCCCGTGCGATTAATGCAGTGTACGACGCCAAATTGCACATACTGCAAATTCTGGTGTGGGAGGTGTGTTGCATTGCCATTTATTTGAATGGTACGCCAAACGCACCTCCCACCCACAGTTAGATCGCCTACACCGGAACGTGCAGTACCACAATGCTGCTCGTTTCAGTGAGCTGCGACTTGGGTCATGACTTAATGACCAAGGTCAAATGTGGGTCCTGAGGTTACACAGGTTGAGAACCACTGTACTAGAGGATCCCTGTACCTGGAGACAAACCTGTCCAGTTTGCTGTTGAACTTGGAGGCCAGGACCTCCACATTTGGCATTCCTCACCTGTGACTGTGTCCTGGAAGGATGGACCATTCCCCCGGTTCCAGACACTGCCGGCTAAGGAAGTCTTCCTGCCTACCTCAGCCTGGGATGTAAACAGTGGACCTGAAGTGCTGCCCAGTACAGGATCTGCACTACCTCGGTCTGATTGAATCTGGATCAGATTATTATTATATCGGATTATTATTATACAGGCTTTATATAGCACCAACAGTTTGTGCAGTGCTTTACAATATAAAAAGGACAGTACATTTACAATACAAGTCAAGACAAAATGTTAAGCAGGGCCCTGCCCATGAGAGCTTACACTCTAAAAGTGAGGGGCAACTGATACACGAGGAGGTAGCTGTGTGGGGAGGAATTGATTAAGAAAGTGATTGTTCTGTAGTTAGTTTGAGGCAGTATAGGCTTCCCTGAAGAGATGAGTCTTTAGGGATTGCCTAAAGGCAGACAGAGTAGGAGATAGATGGACAAGCTGGGGTAAAAGAGTTCCAAAGAATGGGAGAGCAGAGGCGGCTCTTTAATTAGGCAAATTAGGCGGTCGCCTTAGGCCTCGCGGCCGCCTAGTTTGCCCTGTCAGGACGGCAACCAGGTAGCGTTGTCAGCTCTCATCCACGTAGCTGTCAAACTGAGACTCTCAGTTTGACAGGGCTGAGAGCTCATCCATTACCTCGATCGTTGGTGTGGATCATCGGCTCGTTATCTGCACGGAGCTCCGCCCACCAGCCAATAAGAAGAGACCTCACCCCTCCCATCCACCACACGAGGATCTCTGGCTGGGAGGGCGGAGTTTAACTGCAGAAGCTGATGGAGACGCCCTCAAGACACGGCCAGCACAGCACAAACAGTACTGGAGTGGCAGCCTGGAGAGCCTTGTGGAAAGCAGGTGAGAGCCCTTTGGAGAGCCCTGGTTTACACAGAACCCTGCTACCCTGGTAAGGCCCCCTCAGAGCCCTGGTGAGTCCCCACAGAGCCCTGGTCTGTGGGGTCTCACCAGCCTGGATAGACCCCTTCAGGGCCCTGGTAAGACCCCACAGACCAGGGCTCTGTGGGGTCTCACCAGCCTGGATAGACCCCTTCAGGGCCCTGGTAAGACCCCACAGACCAGGGCTCTGTGGGGTCTCACCAGCCTGGATAGACCCCTTCAGGGCCCTGGTAAGACCCCACAGACCAGGGCTCTGTGGGGTCTCACCAGCCTGGATAGACCCCTTCAGGGCCCTGGTAAGACCCCACAGACCAGGGCTCTGTGGGGTCTCACCAGCCTGGATAGACCCCTTCAGGGCCCTGGTAAGACCCCACAGACCAGGGCTCTGTGGGGTCTCACCAGCCTGGATAGACCCCTTCAGGGCCCTGGTAAGACCCCACAGACCAGGGCTCTGTGGGGTCTCACCAGCCTGGATAGACCCCTTCAGGGCCCTGGTAAGACCCCACAGACCAGGGCTCTGTGGGGTCTCACCAGGGCGCTGAAGGGGTCTAACCAGGCTGATGAGACCCCCACAGAGCACCGGTGAGAACCCATGGAGCCCTGGTGCTGTTGAGACCCTATCTCGCCCTGGTGAGACCCTACAGAGCCCTGGTTTAACCAGGGCTCTGTGGGGTCTCATCAGGGCACTAAGG